AAAGACTAATTATAAAAGAATAGCCTTAACAACAAAAATTTAGGTAAATTTTAGAATTTTACTTACAGGGCGAGCGTTGTGTGCCGTCTCCTCATCACTATCCGCCCAATCATCATCCCAATCATCTTCTGGCTTAGTATATACAGATCCTGCTCTTTGAGATGCGGGCGGTGGAGGTGGAGGTGGCACATCTGGTTCGGGAAGATAGACTACTTCAAGAAAACTTGATGGAACCAAGCCTTCTGAACCACTTTGATTCTTGGCTTGCCACCAACCGGCGCCCACATCCTGGTCAATAATAGTTAAAATTTCTCCAATGGAAACGGACATCTCTCCATCGCATTGAGCATCAAAAGCATAAAGCACCTTTGCCTAATCACAAATAGTTATAAGTAAAATTACTGACCTTCATTTGTCGTGTAGGGAAAAGATATGGAAGAAATGAGGGGAAATTAAAAAAGGCGGGAAAAAACAACAAACATTCAAACGGCGAAGGGTTTGTGAAATGTTATCTCTAAGTGTAAATGGGTCAAGTTAACTTGATGTTTGATTTTAGTGCTTTTAAAATAATGCTATTGGTTTAATATCAAAGTTTGATTAGATAAGATGCTGTAATATTTGGATGTCATCGTGTCAGATGATTATTCCATCCTTGAAACAGGGAAATTATCTCTTGCAATAATATACAGTATTGTTCGTAAATGACGAATTCGTGGACTCTTCGTCTCTTCTCGTTTTATTTCCTGCTAATTTTAAGCAAGGGAATTTAGAAAATGAATAATCACTTAATTCACTTAAATGATGTGAATTGCAAAAGTGTTTACAATTTTTTGCATATTTTTATTAAAACGGCAAAAATATCTTATAAAGAGTGGGAATTTGAAATGCATATTCAACTTGGATTAATATCCTATAATCTGTTTTTATTATCGTATCTTTCATTAACATTTCCCCTTTAAACGCGTAAAGCACATTTCTATCATCCTTAAAATTGACATTCATACTGAGCATAGAGTACTAAGATGTTCGTATGCATGTTAGCTGGTATCCTCTGTGGCCAAGCGTGTCACCAGAACCCTCCATTTCAGGCATAGTTACGGAAAATGTGCACATGCACCCATACACACATAATAGTGACCTATATCTGGACACACTTATGGCTTTAATTTCGTATCCTACGTATCACAGGTAAACCCCCAATAATTATTTGGCCTACTGCTAGTCAATATTATGAGTATAGCTGATCAAAGCTAACAATAGTATGTCGATAATACCATTTGACCTTTATTAACTATTGCAAACGTCATGACAT